CAGATTCTGGCCATAATCTTCAGGCCGTGAGCGAGGTGTGAGGCTTGGCGGCCAAGGGCGTGAGACGGCTGAAATTGGACTGCGCATGCGTAGGTGTGGTGATGGCGAGAGGAGGAGAAGAAGAACAAATATATTTTAAAAAAATGTCAGCCTCTATAAGTTTGTCAGAGGTTATTATTGGGCTAATTGAGATTGTTTTGAACATGTGCCACTCAGTGAAGTGACATTAGATAGGCATAATAAGTATTACCACGTAATCAATTGAACCGGAGTGGTATGCCATTTCGTGACTCAGCTGGTATTTAATTTTTTTTTTTTAAAGTTACGTCTGTTACGATATAATTGTGTCCTTACGTTGTAATAAAGCTTAGGTTACATTACTTAACAATTAAACTACCCCTAAAAATGTAGATTTTCCTATAAATATTTTATAAAATGTAATATCGAGCAATTTATATATTTATTTTTATTTTATTTTTATTTTTGGGGTTGGGGGACGGGGGTGTTAAAATTTGACAAAAGATGCATAGAAGTAACGCACTTCATAAGAATTCCATTTAATGCCCCTCCTCCCCACGCCCCAAGGCTCACAACCGCACATTTTTTTCACGCCACTGAAATCTGAACTAGATTAATATTCTAATGACCCATCCGCTTTTACACTGCACATTCATTTCCCCAACTATTTTAGTAATTTTACGAGAAAAAAAAAGCAAATATTACGCCCCAAACACAATTGCGATGTTGTTGTTGTTGTTTTAAATCTCATTTAGCACAGTTATTTGGGAATTTTATTTCTTGAAATCATTGTCGTCATATTTCCTCTATCTTCCTCTTGAAAAACAGGAAAAACTGCTTTTTGGGGTTGGAGGTAAGGCTGAAAGTATTAACGAATCTATGTGCAGCAAAATTTCAGTTCGGTTCACGGAAAGTGGTTCAATGAGCCCTCCGAAGATTTTTTCCAGCCAGCCACAAACTTAAGCGAAGTTAATATAAAATATTCAATTAAAACCAACGTTTTTTCCTATAAATCCTAATATAATATACATTAATATAATAATATTAAAAAAAATATATGATAGAGCAACTGGGGAGTAGTGCTAAAATTTGACAAAACATGAATACAAATAACAGACACATTACAAGAATCCCAATTAGTACTCCCCCCCCCCCTCCACAACCAAGGCACCCAACGGCACATTTTTTCACGCCCCTGAACTGTATTAATATTCTAATGACCCACTCGCTTTTACGCCACAGATTTACTTCACCGACTATTTCAGAAAAACAAAAAAAAAATAACATTACCCACTAAACACGCATGCAATTTTTTTTTAAAGAATTTCATTGACAGCAATATCAGGAATTTTATTTCTTGAACTCAGCATCATCCTATTTTCCTTCATGTTCCCCTTGAAAAACAAGAAAAACGTTTTATTTGGGGTTGGAGTTGAGGGTGGGGCTGAAAATTTGAAAGAATTTTTTGTCATCTGTAATGAGTCTACATGCCAAATTTCAGCGTTATAGGTTGACCGGAAGTGGATCAGTTAGCCGTCCGATTATTTGCCAGCCACGAACAAAAGTGTAGTTAATGTAAAGGATTTTTAAAAGGATTTCTAGGCTTTAGTTAAAATGTAATGTATTACATTATACACACCCTAATTTCTTTTTTTCATACGTTTTAATTTCCTCTTTGGATTTTCTGAGATTAAACTCTCTGTTAGTTGCAATCAATTTTTTAAGGAACTTTATTTTTTTTAATTTTAAAAAAAATTGAAAATGTAATTTTAATTATAATTTTTAATTTGTAGAACTAGAGACCAACATGCGGCAACATATTTCGTTAACATTAATTAACAGCGTAACAATTTGTTCTTTAGGATTTAATCAACACCATTGTGTCTGCCAACAGGAAACAACATAATTTGTCTGCTGCAAAAACGAGACAGCACAATTTGTCGAAACGAGACGGCCCAATTGGTCTGCCAACACGAGACAGTAGTGTCTGCCTACACGAGACAGTATTGTCTGCCTACACGAGGCAGTATTGTCTGACAATACGAGACAGTATTGTCTGCCTACACGAGACAGTATTGTCTGCCTCAAGAGGCAGTATTGTCTGCAAACGCGAGGCAGTATTTTCTGCCTACATGAGACAGTATTGTCTGCCTACACGAGACAGTATTGTCTGCCTACACGGGGCAGTATTGTCTGCCTACACGAGACAGTATTGTCTGCCTACACGAGGCAGCACAAACAAGTACTGTACAAGTCCATTTATTTCCAGTTACTACGAAAAAAATAAATATATAAACGTTAAGGATCTTTTGGTTTTTATACAGTAATTTAATTTGTTTAATGTCCTGGAATTTCGTTATTTTATCCTGGAAAAGTCCTGGAACTTTAATATGTTTTAAACGATTTGATGCAGGAACCCTGACAGTGGGTCCCTGCTTACACGAAACACCGTCTGACAATCTGAGACCCTTTGTCTTTCTGCTTTAATCCCTGATAAAACTGATGTTAACGTTTCTTAAATGTGTCCCAAAATTGTTTTTAAAAAAAAACAACAACAAAAGACTCTTTAAAACTGTTAGGAAAAGTCCTCAATCTCCTTCTACCCTAAACGAAACAGAATATTGCTTATTCGTAACATCTTACTGCACAACACAAGAATACTCGGCGATTGCTTTTGTAAAATAATATTCAAAATAACAACAAAAAACAAAAAGAAACCAAAAAAATAATAGTTAAAATTACAAAGATGCATATGACATTCTCCAATCTCTAGTTCTATGTTTATATGATTTTCAACCCCACCACCCTTTCTTTTTTAGGTGGGGGGGCGGGTGGTTGGAAGGGAGGGGTGGGTGGTTGGAAGGGAGAGGTGGGTGGTTGGAGGGGGGGCGGCGTGGTTGGAGGGGGAAGGGGGGTAGAAGGTTTATGAAAGAAAACGTATTCCCCTGAAAACTACACGAGAGATACAGGTGATAATTCAAAGGATCGAAATGGAGAGGCTTTGGAGTTGAAGGCGGTAGAGTATCAAAGATGCTAGAGGGGGAAGAGAATGAGAGAGAGTCAACAAAGGATAGGAGAGAGAGAGAGAGAGAGAAAAGAAGGATAGGAGAGAGATAAAAAAAGGATAGAAAAGAGAGGGACAGAGAGATAGAAAGAAAAAGAGTGAGAGAAAGGGAGATATTTCAAGCAAAACTAAAGACATTTTATATCAATGATCAGCGCCAAGCTCAACAATTAAAATTTTTTTTTTGTTTGGTTTTATTTGTTTTTTTTTTGTTTTTTTGTTAAAGTTTTTTTTTATTTTCTCTGTTTTGAAATATCTGAAAAATTACTAGCAAGACGTCTAATTATGTCAACATTATGTTGTTAGTAATTTTTTTTAAAGGGCATCGTAATGTAGAAATTTCTACGAACTTTTATGGACTTGCCATTTTAGGTCAAATATTTACGGAATGCCCTACTTTATATGACGATTCCGAAATGTGTGCAGACTAGTTAATTTTTTTAAAAGAGTTTTAAGCTAAGGGATGTAACTTGAATAATTAATTAATAGATTTCGAAATTGAACAAAGTTGCTTCCCCTTAAAAATTAAAATTTAAAGGAACTGCATGCTAGTGTTACCTTTTTTTTATGGAAAATGTATTTATTTTTATTTATAAAGTCAAATAAATAGGTGATACTCTATTACGTTGTATCTCACTTAATCCCTGCAACTATAAAAATAACTGACTGCACTTCAAAGAAACTAAAAAAAACTTACCCAGTGCACTTTCTGGTGACACACTTTTCTTGTGAAACCCTTTTCTGGTTGCAACCTGTTATGATGGAAACTTGATCTGGTAGCACCCTGTACTTGTGGGCACTTTAATCTGACCCCCCTCCCCCCCCCCCACCCCGACAATTTGTTCTGGTGGCACCCCGTTCAGGTGGAAACTTGCTCTAGTGACACCTTCTTCTGGTTGTAGCACCCTGTACTTGTGGGCACTTTAATCCGCCCCCCCCCCCCCCCCCCCCACCCCGACAATTTGTTCTGGTGGCACCCCGTTCAGGTGGAAACTTGCTCTAGTGACACCTTCTTCTGGTGACACCATGCCTTTAGCACCTTGTATTAACTGTTTTTCTATGAAATTAACTCAGAGGGCGGTATTTTTCAGCTAACTTCAGTTGTTTTTTTAATGGTGAAAAGGGTGGCCAAATTCCCACCCAGGCTGGCACTAACCCATGCTGCAGTGATCAGGCATTCATTTGAACATTTTGAGGCTCCTGTGAAAATGAGGTTCAGACCAAATTCTTCTTTTTCGATATCTTAAGGGCCCATGATCAATGTATTGATCATTCTGGCTCCTATTTATGTCGAGAGGATTGGCAACGTTTCTGTGCCTAGAAGTAGTGAAGTGGATATTTCACTGGTTGCAAAGGCTACTCAGCGAGGGTATCAGGAACTGGGGCTTTGAATGCTTGAGGCAATAGACGCCAATTTGTCAAGTGTTGTCGCCTCAACTGATCCTTTTGTAAACTTGTTCCAGTCACTGAATGTCTTTGGCAGGAATGAGCAGTTCCTGTACTGTGTTCTTACTCTTATGAGCTGGCCCCCATTGCTGTCTAATGGGCAGAAGGACGAGTTTCTGTTTAATGTTGGAGCAGTGGACCAGCCCATTTTTTTTATCTTGTACATCTTGTGTGAAGAAGAGGGTTTCAAAATGCTAGACCTAGAAGCTAGTCAGGGAACTTCAAATTACTAAACATCTCACCTTCAGATCATTTGATATTTTAAAAAAAAAAAATTCTTAAATTTTCGGTTCAAATAATTTTGCAATAGTAACGTTCGGATGGGTTCGTACTCTGTGACGGTCGTCAGCAGGGTTCGAATTCAGGGTTTACGGTGTACGGTTCGATTCCCATCTCTAATTTCTACAAACCTACCAACCGCGATAACACTATCTTGTACCATAATCAATGAATTTTGCCATTTCTGTTGTCATGCGCACTGACACGGAAGTTGGTTACATCCCACCAAGGACAGTAACTCTGTAAATACAAAATAATCACAAATACTTCCTTCTCTGCCTAACTTTTTAGTTATCAAGCTGTAGGAGGATGTCACATCAAACTGGAATAACAGGTAAAATTTTAATCGTTGTTGCATTTAAAAAGGAACATGTTTAGAGTGATTTTCTCAAAACATTTTAAAGTATGCTCCCAAGCACCATTAAAACATGTCACATGAGCTTGCAGCCGTTTGAACTTTTGACAACGACAACTGACAACAGTGTTAGTGTTGTCTTGTCAACTTCTCTATTTAACTCAATGAAAGCTAAGTACTTAAATTTTACTAATTAGCCGTCTACTTTAGACTACGTTCTTAGTAGGCTGCTACTAATATTCCCAGTACTACTACTACTACCATTAGCGGCTAATTTGGAGAGATCTGCAACTACTAAAGTAAGTCAAGTTTACTAGTACCTAACTTTGAGTTTGTTAGTAGGCGTAGGGATTACCTTTACTTAACTCTATTTCAGTTCAGACTAAATGGTCAGTTGTTACTGTCAGTAGTGCTAGTAGTATTCTTTAAACTTTAATGACAAACTGATTATTACATCTTAAAGACTGGAACTACAAGAGGCATAGATGATAGAGCTAAAAAGAAAAATTAAAATTAGGCCTAGTTACGCCTAGCTAGTTTAGTCAGTTTAGTAAAAGTAGGCCTATTTATTAAAATAAGCCTATTTAGGGTAGGTACTTCGGTAAAGCAAGGGAGACCACTTCAAAATTTGTATGGGAAATGGGCGTCGGCACAGCAAAGTCCGACTTTTTAATTTTTTATGTGAGTGTCAATTCATTTATAAAAGAGCCCTTTTGACATATAATTGAGTTTCACTTCCGCTTTTTCACAATGGAAGATATATTGGCCTAAATAATTAAACTTTTTATAGTTATTGGTCTGAAATTTTTTTAACATTCTATATCAATTAATTTTAGTGGAAGAAACGAGCTTGAAATTTTATTTACTTTATTTTTACCAGCTCACGAGTCGCAACTAATTTTTATTTTTACAGCAAATGATGACCTGAGGGCATTTTTGGCTCAGTCAAAAGATGGGAGTGTTCGTCTAATTAAAATTGCCATTGACAATGGTAATAATTATTTCAATAACGTCTTACCTGTGTGTTTTTTATAAATATTACTTAATGTAAACATGTCTGATTATGTTGAAATGGTGTTGATAATAAGATTAAGCTAAAAATGTATGTTTAAAATTTTGTCATACAATTTAATAAACATAATATAAAATATAATAACATAGTATGGGGGGATAATTATTACTCTTGTTGTAATTATTTTGATGCCATTGTCATACTTGGAAAACAGTGACGTAACTACTGTGGTAGCAGTTACAGCTGAGCATGGGGGAAAACAGTTTCTCTTGCTCTACAATGTAAACAAATCCTAATAGCAAAATTAGGAGTGTGATAAGTTATGTAAGGATATCAGACTCACTGATTCAGAAGTGCAATTCAATTTAAATGTAGTTTACAGTACTGTATTCTAGATCAGGGCAAAATAACATTTTGGTTATTCAGTGCAAAGGTAGGATTTATAATTTCTAATCTTTTTTAATGTCAAATAACATATTTGAGGAGTGTTTATTGATTTTGCTCCATGTTTTCTTTTTCAGAACAGCTTGCTTTAGCCGATTCAAAGAAACCCAAAAATTCATGGGACAGTGATATCCTTTTCTTAATTGTGTAATTATTATTTATGTTGTAATGAGCAGTCAAAAGGTGATAAAATGATTGAAGTTCAAATATTCTTTTTTAAAAATAAGTATCAAATTTATACTGAAGATTCTTTTTAAAAAATCTTTTATCTACCGGTATCAAATAATGCTTCGAAAAGTTACCTTTGCAGATCAAATCTTGTATTTGGAGAATGGAAACTGAAAGAAATGTTCACATTATTTGTCAGTTCAGTTTGTAAAAAGTCTTTAAGGTTATTCATCTTGAAATAAAATATATGTACTAAACATCTTGCTGATGATTACTGTTCTGTTGTAGTTGCAGGACATGTGGCTATTTCAGCTTATTTATTCTATGAAAGGATAATGTCACTTCTAAACTGTAAATTTTAACCTTGACAAGTCTATACATTATGATGAATTAGTAGTACCCCTGCTTGATGACAAGTGCCCATGCTACATCCTCTACAGATTTGATACTAAAAATAGCATGGGTTATGAATGGTTATTTATAGCCTGGTCTCCTGATTTCGCTCCAGTAAGAAGTAGATTTTTTAAAATCTTTATCTTTTAATAAAGAGGGTGGGAATACTCCCCAAAAAAAACCAACGGTAATAGAATCGTAAAAAAAAAATCTATATATTTATGTAGTTTTTTTATATTTTTTTTAGTGAAGGGAATGAGTGATTATATTATTTTAATTTCAGAGGTTTTAAATAAATTTTTTTATGAATTGTATGCATTCAAATTTAAAGACTAATATTTATTGTTCTTTTTTAAAATCCTTTTTATTAACTTCGCTTTTGTTCATGTATTTGTAGATAAATTTTTGGATGGCTAATTGATCCATGTCCCATCATCCTATCAAGCTAAAATTTGGTACATAGATTTATTGCCGATGACAACACATTCTTTCAAATTTTCAGCCCCACCCCAAACATCAATTTTTCCCTATTTTTTAAGGGATGATAAATGACATATGATTTGGTATGGAGATTAACTGTGTAGCTGTTGCTATGTGCTTTCTATTTGTGACATATTAGGGTTTACATCTTTAGTACCAAAAATCAATTGTTAAGTATTTACTTTTGTTTTAAAAGTGTGCTCCACATTTACACTAAAATTGAATTTATGTTCCTGTATTTGAAAGGTCAGACAAAAAATGTTGTATGCTGCAACTAGGGCCACCATGAAGTCTGAGTTTGGTGGAGGTCAGATAAAAGATGAACTGTTTGGCACTGTTCAGGTAGAGTTCTCGACTCATACTTGTAGTGGCTTGTGAGCTTTCAATTGTTTTTATGATGGTATTATTTGAAGGTGCCCCACATTTAAAAAAAAAAAATTAATTTGCTGATTAGTTTCTAAACCTGTTGATTTCTGTTTTCTGTGCTTAAATTTAAATGTTGCCTCTTTCTGGTTTCTGGTGGAAACATTTATTTGGACTATATAATATCCATCCAGTCCGATGTCACTTTGAGAGGCTATCACAAGCATGTCCAAGCAGCTTTAGCCCCAGCTCCTCTTACAATGGCAGAGGAGGAGCTTCAGTTCATTAAGCAAAATGAGGTCAGTACAACTCATGTAACCTTATTTCTTCAGATGAGGTCAAGACATTTAATTTTGTATACTACAATGTTGAATGATCTCAAGTTAAAATTTACATGAAGCATTTAATTTTGTTGTAATATATGTAAGTTATAACCACTTCTTTTTTGTTTGTAAAGAAAATGTTTGTCCAAAAATAATCTTAATTACCCAATTCATACTTTTTTTTTATGTTTTATTTTCAATTTCAAAAGAAGTAAATGTATGATCAAAATTTTGTCTCAAAATGCAGAGAGAAGCTGCGATGGCTATGGTAAGGGTGAATGCTGGCTTGATTTACCCTTGTGTTTGTGGAACTTAACTTTTGAACCTGTTGTGCGAAAAACAAAATTCTGACCCGTGTCTACTAAAATGTAACTGAGAGCATTGCAACATATTGTTTAGCGACACTAAGTGACCCAAAGAAGGGGTCAACAAATACAGGTCTCATCCAAAAAATATTACATGGACACCTGAGCTAATTCTTGGTTTTTGTAGACTTAGACTTAGAGACTTAGACTGCCTTGCAAAATTATGTACTGGCTACTGAATTGATTTTGGTTTGGTCTCCTTCCCTGGTCTCAGATATCTTAAAATGAATGAACACGTTTTAATATTTAAATTGTGTTAGTGGTAGAAAGCTGTGATTGTAAGAATATAGATCTACAATCAGTTATCTCAAAAGTACATCTATACAAATTTGTTTTCACAATAGTTGGAAAATCTGAGATGAAATTTAATTGGTTTCCTCTGGCCTGCTTATTTTTATTTAACACATGAACTAAAAGTAAATTATCCCCCCCCCCCCACCCCCCCCCCTCCCCCCATCTTGAAAAGGAGAATTTTGGAATTATTCATCCCCATGATTAATAAAAAATGTGTTATTGAATTGACTTGTAGCAACTAAACCGGTTTTATGGTTACTGTTTTAGTCTGCTCCATTGATTTCACTAAAAAAAATGCATCATGCTGTGTTCCAATAATTTACTGAAAATACTTTGAAGTCCATAGAACTAACAACTTTGGTGAATCTTTTTTTTTTTTTTTGGAGTTATTTTTTACATTTTGCATAGTTTTAACTTTTTAAAATAATAAAAAACAATTATTTGCAAATAAGGGGAAATATTTTTGTATCTTAACAATCATCACTGTGGGAATCAAAATAAACTTAGTAAAAGTCAAGAGAAATAAATACCTCAGTCATTCACCTGTTAATTAGTGATGATGCATGAGCCAGACATCCTTATTGCATACTCCAATTATCATTTCTCGTCCCTGGGATGAGATTGGCATATTTTAATTGATACATTTAAAATATGGTAAAAATAAATGCATGAAATCTCTTATTGCAGGTGAATGCTCATATCAATGTTGAAACAAAGTCACAAACTATGAAAGGAGTTGGCTTTCCCCTGACCCCAGATGCAGAGACAGCTGTTCTGTCATTTAGAGACGGAGCTTTCAACTATGTACAGTTAGTGAGTACCACAAATTCATTTAATTTTTTTTTATCATAAACTCAGCTAGTAAAGCTTAAACTTAAACACTTCTCAAGGAAAAACTTAATTTTGTATTGTGCTGCTAAATGTTTGGTGTAAAAGTCATTCAAAAAAATTACTTCAGTGTTCAGTAAATATACATTTTTAAATATGTTTGACTGAAATCACATGGAGAGAAGCATTTATTGATTTTGTCCCATTCCCTTTTGGCAGAGCCTTGACCTGGAAAAGGAAGTAGTCAATTTATCAGCCACAGACAACATTCATATCAGCCATCTGATCTCACATGTGCCTACAGAAAGTGCCCGCTACCATCTCTTCAACTTCCAACACACACATGAGGGAGATTCCATAGAAAGTATAGGTATGTAAACTAATACTACCGCACTTCCAACACACGCATGAGGGAGATTCCATAGAAATTATAGGTATGTGAACTAACACTATCTCCATTAACTCTCCCGAGGTTTAAAATATCAGCACTTGCTTCTGCCGTTCACTGGTTTCTTTTGTAAGATTTTGCTCACTTTACTCTTGCTGATGATGAGCACTATTCCTTTGTGTTGGTAGTTTTCTTGTCTTACCAACCAGATGACCAGTTTTTTTTTCCAGTCCATCTTTTTAACCCAGAAGCTCCAGTTGTAGAGTTTCAGTCCATGCACAGCTTGTGACAGCTTTCTAATAGAATGCCGATGTGCAAACATGCAAGTATCCAACTCTGAACCGTGATTTTTTTGCCGTAAGATTTGCTGCTGCGCTGCAGCTTTGGTGTCTGCTCTTCTGAAGTCCAACAACCTGGTTGGTTTCATGGCCAAAAAGTGTCGCCATTTTCCTTTGCTGTCGTTTCTTTAGCAGGAGTGTTTTTACTGTATGGGAGCGCCTAAAATTGTTTTCAAATGATTTACTATCAGTAGAAATATGTTGTGATTTGAATGCAACTGTCCTCTCCCAAAGCCCTTCACTTAAACCGCGACCACCAATATGGTATTTTGTAAGGAATAGACGTGACTTTGTAGTAACCTCAAAGTTGAGTATGAGACTGTTGAGCATTAGCACAGGCCCTTATTTAGGTGCCTATGTTGCTAATACTTATAGGGCCTAGTCCACTGCTCTGTGATTGACCTATATCTTTCTCATGTCATTTATTTTGGTTTCCTTTTAGATCTGCTTTTTTAAAATTATTTGTGACTTTGATGCTGCAAACGTCTGATAGTTGCCACAAAAAAAAAAAAGAAAAAAAAACACTAAAATAAAACTGTTTGTTTCTTCTTTCTCATGTCATTTATTTTGGTTTCCTTTTAGATCTGCTTTTTTAAAATTATTTGTGACTTTGATGCTGCAAACGTCTGATAGTTGCCACAAAAAAAAAAAAAAAAAATCACCTGAAAATGAACCTGTTTGTTTCTCTTCACAAATTTATTTGATGAAGATCTGGGTCTTTTTCAGTTTAAATGATCACTAAGACTGCTTCTCTTATTGCTTCCAGTGTTTATTTATTCAATGCCTGGCTACAAGTGTTCTATAAGAGAAAGGATGTTGTACTCGAGCTGTAAGAATCCCCTTGTGGATCAGTTGGCTAAGCTTGGCATAGAGATTGAGAAGAAAGTGAGTACTGGGCTACACGCTGGATAATAAATGCTATAATATTCTGTTTATATTCTAAAATATTATATTTATAAATAGTAAACATTAATATTTTTTATTTGGCTCCATAAAAATCTGTTAAACTATAAAAAAAAGAAAAAAATTGTTTAGGAATGCACTAATGCATCCGCCATAGTTTGTTATATTTTCCTGTGCGCACTCATTTTGGCTTTGTCACAAAATTTCATGTCTCATGTTTTTGACCTCAGATCGAAGTAGATGACCCATCTGAGTTAAAAGAGGAGTATGTTTACGATGAGATCCACCCAAAGAAAAATGTGGCCAGGCAAGCCTTCGCCAAGCCAAAAGGGCCTGCAGGCAGGGGTCCTAAACGAATGACCAAACCAGAGAATTAAAAAAAAAAATACATGCTCAAATTTTAGGCATTTGTTGATGGATTTCCATAGGGCTACATTACTAAGTACTTTAAATTTTTAATTTTAAAAAACAAAACTGTCCTTTATAATGTAACAACACAAGTTACTGACCTACATTATGTTACAAATGGTATGATACAACACAAGTAACGCTAAAGAAAACGCCTGCCAGGGTTAATTAATTAAAAGACATTATGTAAATTATTTTAGCGTGGTTGTTTTTTGGTGTTGTGTGATATTTTCTGTTAGTTTTGAGACAATAATTTTATTGCCGCTAGAATTTTCTGTCCGGTTGGAACAAGCTGTTTTCTACATCTCCAAATAGTATTTACAACCCCTACAGTCATTCATCATCATCACATGAAATGTTTGATCCATTCTTAACAAGTTGTGACATGCTAGGTACATTGTGGTTTTAGTTTTTCTAGAATTTATTTTCATATGAGTATTTAGGTTTCCTTGGAAGAAATCTGCAAGTACAATTTAGTTTCAGAGCTACTTTTTTATATTTATCTCTTAAATTTTCATTTATTTGAAATCCTTAATTTTTACCATCTTTAATGTATTTCCATTTGTGTTCAATGCTTGGGTGGCCGTGACAAGTTGAAGTTAACTTTTTAAAAATTTTATATCATAGTCTGTTTTTAGGTGATGATTTCAATAAAACAAGATGCCCATTGTCTACTCAGGTGTTCACATAACACATTACCTTCCTTGCAAGTGAGAAATTTACCTGGGTTGTAGATATTTTTATGGATTCATTTGTTAAAATTTCCCTTTATATTTCTGCACGCCAGGTTTCTCTGCATATACAAATAGTGCTATTTATAGTTGCGGACCTTTGCCTACACATACTACTTCCCAATTTACTTATTCACCTGTTAACAAAAATTGGAAGTGGGATATAGAATATGATGACAGTCATTTCCCCTCCCCACCCCCCTTATTTCCCCCATTCAACCCCCTCATTATCTAAATATTATAGAATAAAAACTTGAAGAACTAACTATAATAAATAGATTTATATTGCAGTATTTCAAAAGAAATTTGTTGGAATTTATCTTGTTGTTTTGGCTTCAAACAAGTCAACTTAAAGCTATCAGACTTGAGCGTACTAACAGTAGCAAACACATTTTTTGTTGTGTGAAATGTAAACATTGGATAAAATCTAGAGCGTAGTATTATTGAAGTGAACAGCTTGGAAGAATGAGAGATGTACATTCCTCTGCCATCATTTTGTTTGCTTCCGGTATTTTTATTCTTTCATTTTCACACTATCACCACCATGAAATTGGGTTATGCAACACCAAAAATTAAGTTCCAATCTTTTTTTATATTCTTTTAAAGCTAAGTTGTAGGATCAGCTGTGGTGCATAGAAATTGCTTTTAAAACCTAAGATTCTTTTATCAGTCATCTTTTTTCTTTGTAAAAGGATGAATCGTATGTTAAATAATTTTTTTATTTCCCAAAATCATATGGTCCTTATGGCAAGTGTTTTTGCATCATGTGATTATTTGATTCATACCTGATATTTGTACAACTTTTCGTCTTTCAATTTTATGATGTGGGTGCATCATTCCCTATCAGTTTCACTGTTTGGATACATACTCAAATCTATATTTAGCATAGTTTTAGATGGGATTAGTTCTTTTACCTGGTCACTTTATGACAATAGTGATATTCAAAAGAAAATTTTACAATTGCAAGGTTTCATTAAGGTACATTACGACTCATACTTAATTATAGCTGTCGTGCTTTGTCAATTTAAAATGTGTCAAGTGGATTGTTTAGTTAGCATTTCAAGCAGTAAATTATACATTATATTCAAACATTCATCAGCTTTGCCTCCTCCCTCTCAAAACATTAAAATTTTGCTAGCATGCTATCTCTCTCTGTTATTCTTATAAAATCTTGATAATTTAAATTGACTAGGCTTACCAGAAAAATGTCAAAGCTCAGTTTGGAAGTGGCATGTTATTTGATTAAAGATTAATGAATACTGGCCATGAACTCTGTCCTCATATTAAATGAGACCTAGTAACCCTGGATGTTATATTAATTATAAAATATATTTATACATACAAAAAAAATGAAGTGAACGAAAATGAAGTATATATTTTTTTCCCCCAAATATACCACACACAAAAAAATATTCTGATAGACTGTGTCTCTCTCACTTCTTACATGTATTGGTAGATTTTTAAACACTTTGTTGAGATGTTGATTACAGTGATTGAAAATATCTTTTCCAACAATTAAAAAAATATATATTTATCCTGTTGTTTTGTTGTTTTTTTTAAAGATTTTCAAAATTGATACAAGATACTTTTATTGCATTCAAACATCACTAATAAAAATACATTAATTACAGGCACACAGTTTACATATTTCAATAACACACAAGAGACTATTCAAAATTAAATGTTTCACTGTAGAATTTTATTAAAATTTTTAAAAAAACTTAAAAGAATATTTTCTCCTTGTATGAGTTATTCTATAACTGTGTAGTACATTTCAAAATAAAAATAGAACAGAATTATGTGATACATCCCACATCCCATGGGCATGAAATTAGAACTTTTAACAACTTTTAAAATTGTGAAGATAATTCAGCTGCGGCTATAAAACATTTGTGTGTGTTTTTTAGGCTTAGGTACAAGGACCAAGATATCAAGACTTGCGCGCACAAAGCCCTTAGTAACGAAGATAAAAATCACTACCCTGTGGGCCTGTAACATCAAATAACAGAAAAATTTACTATCATTAAAATAGAATTATAGTATTCTAAAGCTCACATTTCAGTGCTAATGCTGAGCTAGGCATGTTTTGATCTTAATCGGCAATCATAGGCAAAATATGATTAATTGTGTACAAAATTTAATCAGTGGCTAAAAAAAATTGATTCATATGAACTATTACAATTAGCAAACTCTCCACAGCAGTTTTCATAAAAATTAAATTACATGACTTTCTACACTATTAATACAAAGATATATATAATATCTTTAAAAAACCTAGCACCAGATAATGGTGTAGCAGTGGGGAAACAAAAGTGAATAGTATAAAAAATATTTATTTATAAGGTAAATATTTATTATGAACTGCAAGACTATTTTCTAGAATTAACTTTTTTTTTTTGCACCAATGTCTTTATAATTTAAAGCAGTCCTATGATAAATACAGTTATCTCCCCTTAATGTGAACCACTATTGGATTACAGTTTTACTTGTTTCTGAATATAAATTTACAGCACTGTGGCTATCCGCTAAAACATCACATTTTAATAACACTAGCTACCTTACATAAGCCAGACTAAAACCATGCTGTCATAACTGCTGCGCACTTAAAGGCAAAAAAAAAAAAAAAAAACAAACAAAGAAAAAAACTACAAAAAAATAAAAAAAAAAAAAAAAAAAAAAAAAAAAAAAAAAAAAAAAAAAAAAAAACAAAAAAAAATATCACATTTTAATAACACTAGCTACCTTACATAAGCCAAACTAAAACCATGCTGTCATAACTGCTGCGCACTTAAAGGAAAAAAAAAAAAAAAAGCTACTCATGTAAAACACTGCAATGAATTTTATAAATAATTTAAATGTCACCTAGCACAGAGCAATAACAAAAAGATCCACACAGAACTATAGGGAAAGATCTGCAGCCAAAGGACATCCTCAAGCATCAGTTAGTGCATGAGGTCTGAATGAATTAATGCATATGGAAAAATCTCATTGATCAGACATAGAATATTGCCCATTCAAAAGGAAATTTTCATTTATATCTGAATCTTTTAGAGGCAATTTTTATATTGGTCCCTTCCAGGAAAACATTTTTTTTAAAGCATTCTATAAAAAATAAAAATGACAATGGGAAAAATTTGAATGGTAAATATAGCTTTCACCACCTGGTACAGTACACTATGTGAATGCATTTTGAAGAAGTTTTAGGTTTTTTGGGTGTAAAATAAAAACATTCGCTGCTAAAAAAAATAAATAATGAAGAAATTCTTTTTAATGAGCACTTTTGTTTTGATGTAATACTGAGAAAAAAATATGTTTTTAACTAACTAACCTTTTACAAAATTTCGAATTATAACAAAACATTACAAGTGATAGTTGATGAATAGTTTTCAAGCCCTCATAAAGTCAGTATATTATATCAATATATTAATCAGTTGACACATGCTGTTAGTATTTTATCAATTTGTTGACCTTTAAAAACAGTATAACAGGGCTAGGCTATGTTCTTAGACGCTCTTACCCTTTATTTTAAAAGAGGCTCAACATTTTAAAAATGAAAAAAGTAAAGATTGTGAAGAATTGGAAAGCAACTGTCCAATGCACTTCACAATGTAGAATTGATTTTATATCATGTTATAAAGTCAAATCTACTTCTTGTAAAATCCATATTGCTTTGTTAAAATTTAAAAAAGACATCAATTTAAGGAATAGTGGTGATATTTTAAGACAGTTAAAAGATATTTAAGTAATAAAATCAAAGGATGAAAATAACTATTCTGTTACTTGTCATGATGTTTTTGATAGTTATTTATAATAATTATATAACAGACCTACTCTTTGGTAGTTTAGTTTTTTTTACATGAAAAGAAATTGCAGGCACAGTTCAATGAACAAGAAAATAAACAAATAAACCTAGATTAAAACAAGTGATTCCAGCTTTACCTATTCACAGGCAAACCACAGTGTTTCTGGTGAGAAACTGTGTAAGAAAAGATCACCAACAAATAAAATACATGTTCCTTGTGAACACATGAATTTATCCAATCAACACTTTAACTGTACTCTCACAACTTTTAAGGAGCCACATATGGAAGCTTTGGACTGAACTGAAGCTATCATAACAATAAAGTATTTTGATCATAACATATACATTTTTAACATTTTCAGTTGACAAAAAAAAAATTTACTTATTACACTTACAACATATTTGAGATAAGTGTGAACTCAAAAGTCTCATTTCACAAGGTGTAAAGTCTCCTTGGATTAACAAAGTTTAAGACATTAAAGGAAATCATACATACTGTACATTTCAAAGAGAGTCAATCTTTCTATATATAATAATATATATTATATATAAAGTAAAATCAATTGCATCCTAATTTTAAAACAAGATTTGTCAATTTGTAATTATGAATTTTCAATAAATTACAAAATACATAACATTTCATTGTCTACTAAATATGGTCCACCGCAAAAAAATAAGCAGATATTTAAGCAAATAAATTTGTTTGTATCATTCTGTTTAATTTTAATGTTAAAATTATAATATGTATTATTAATAACCATGTATCCTTAAAGCAAGTGCTCTTTAAAAAAATATTTTAAATCTGGACAGCAATGGAGAAAGAGGCTCAATTATTTCAATCCATATTGAAAATTTTTTATTTCTTAAATGAAAAAAATCCTCCTCCTTGATTTAATGAACGTACAAAAAATATTTAACTGTTAGATTGGAAAATAAAAACCAATCAAAATTGGAATATTGAAACAAATGAAATCACTTGGACTTTCTGACAACCGATTGCGGCCAACACATTTGCATTTCATATGAAACAGAGAAAAAAATGATTCCAATGGTCTAGACATTTTTGTTTAAAGCTTCACCCAACCTTGTAATGTCTTTTACACCTTTTTTTGAAATCTTCAGCATTGCGGCAAAACAACTTCCAACTGGACTCTTCAATACAAACATTCACACAACAAAGTTTTTTAATGCTGGCATTTACAAATGTTCATAGTCAAAATATGGACACTTATCATATCTCATGCTACTAAACCTGATAATAAACCACCTACCATCTTGGATACTTTTCTCTTTTGTGGCATATTTTTTACAGAGACAAATATTTATTATAATTTATGCAAGGGTTATCTGTACTCTGTATCTGCCTACTTAATCTGCTGTACATTAATAATAAAAAAAAAAATTTCACTAAAATATGTTGTTCTTTGTCATCAAATAAAATATTTACCTATGAAGCTATCTTACCAATGATAACATTTACCCAAAAAAATTTAATTCATGTAACAATCGGCTTATAACCTGTAACAAAACCCTTTTCATCTAGAAAAGAATTTCTTCCATGTAAAATAAAAAGTAATTGAACTATTGATGGCCAGTAAAGTTATGCAATTAAAAGTGAACAGGCGTACATATTAAAACAGAACAAATGCTAATGACATGGGATCCTATAACTTGAATATCTTGAAAGGCTAGAGCTATGAAATATAATAATCAGTTATGTACAAATATACAATTAATATCAGTGAGCAAAGATTTTTAAATGAAATTCAGAGCAATTTTTCTCATGGTGAAAATTTTCATACTTAAAAGACACCTTTCCTTTCTTCATTCACCAGTACTTTGAGTGTTAATTTAAACACACAAATTATTAACCTCTACCATGACTAGCAGCATTCTACACTTGTAAGCCAGTAGTGAGCTGTGGAACTTTAGTATTATAGTTTTTGTAAAAACACTGTATTTCCTTAAGTCATAACACAGCTCTGTTCAAATGTAATGGAGAGAACTCTGAAAAAAATGTTTTATAAGTGTTGTCTTTGCCTCATTCAGAATTACTTTCTTTTTTTTTTTAAATGTTTATGCTACACACATCTAGGTCAATTATTTGCAACAAAAAATGATTTTGATCACACATTTATAACTTCAAAAAAGTCTAATATATGCTTGTTTCTTTTTAAAATTTATTATATGACAATTTTAATATGAATTCGAAGAGTTATAAAAAAAAAATAATATATATCAAATGTTTGAGAAAAAACAACCTTTTAATCTGCAGCAGAGAATGAATTTTAATTTTAAAGTAAGGGACAAAATATCAAACTTACAAAAAGCATTTTTCAAGTGGTTAGCAGGTGAATTTAACAAAAATAACCAACTATATAAAATATATTTACAAATATCATTTATAAAGCTTTTAAATTTCTGACTTTAATTAACTGCCATTGTGGTCCTGAATGAAGAAATATTGTAAAGAAAAGTAAATTTCAGTTGTGATAAGGGAGTTAAATATCACAGATTTTTTTGTGTGCATTTATGAAGGTAAAGGGAGAGAAGCTTTAATAAGGTTGACCTTATTGTGAATTTGAAGGCTTCCTCAAAGGTATCGGTGGGGGGCCAATCACAGAAGCAGGACCCGGTTGTGGATCTTTGGGTGATAAATGGGTTGGCGGTGGTGCTGCTGGCGGTGGTACATTCCTTGTTGGTGATGGCGTGGTTATGGCTGGCGGGGAAGCTGGAGAAGATGCAGGTTGTTTGAAAGTTACCAGTTCTGGTGGTGGCATGGGGCTCCTTGATGCTGTTATAATGTGTGGAGAAGCTGGTTCTGTTTTTTTTAAAGATACCAGTTCTGGAGGTGGATCTCTGGCCGATACCATCCGTGGCCTTGGAGGAGGCGGTGCAGGTCCACCGGTACTTGAGCTCATAGAGTGACTCTGCTGGGCGGTGCTGAAACGATTGAAGTTTTTGTAGCCTCCTACAGGAGACAGAGCTGGTGTGCTGCCGCCGAAATTATTAGATAAAAAGGGAGCTGTGTGCACTGAAGTGTTCCTTTTGTTGGGTATAGGCGGGGCATCGAGCGACACTTTTGATGTATCTAGTGGGGATGTTGTGGTGCTGTGCTGTGGCCCACTAGTGCGGGGAGGTACTGGAGGTACAGCCTCTTTACCTTTGGTGTCTTCAGTATGGGGCAAATCAGATGATGATGACGACAGATGCTTTTCATTCAGAACAACAGAAGTCTGAAACATGGTCAAGTTATTTAATCTATAATCTATGAGGGAATACGTTTAAGCCATGCAAAGTAAATAAATAGAGGAACAAGATATGTTATGGCTTGAAAACAAAAGGTGGGACAATTGAAAGGACGTTTTGGCAAAATGCCTTCTTTGGCAAACCAGAAAAAAAAAAAAAGAAACAACAAATAAATAGAAATTTAAAGCTTCATTTGTTTGAAGATTCTGATCAAAATGTAGTTTTTAAAGTCTCTGTTTAGAAACAGAAATGGAAGAACCCTTTATCATTCAACCTTATCAGATTTATGATACACTAACTTAATTGGTGATTGACACTCTCCATTCTACCAACAAAAAGAAGAAACTCATTGACCTTGAACCAACAGCTTCCCTCCAGATCTCCCTCTTTCTGATGGTGAAATGTTTCTCCTTTCTAAGGGCCTCAAATTTTTCCTCTCAAGTCTTCCGGTGACCGTTTACAATTAATTTCTTACCCCCATCACTATTTTTGCTCTTTGTGCCTACAGCACCACGTTTATGGTACAGAGAGCACCCAAAAAGTAGATGATGTGTTCTCTTTTCAGTGAAGATGAAAGCCCACTTGGACACCATCCTCCAATCAATCCAAAGTATTGGATCTATATGTGAGTAGTATAGAATATGATATACCCCCCCCCCCCCCCCTCCCCAACCTCTACAAACAGGAATTGTAGGCACTTCAGCGTAATAACATTGCGATTAAACCTGCAGATAAGGGTGGCGCTGTTGTGGTTTGGGATAAAAACTTGTATATTAATAAAGCCCAGGGACAATCAAAGAGGATAAAAAATTCTGTAAGTCCATCGAGGACGACCAGATTTTTCACATTAATGAAATTTTTAAGAACAAACCATAAAATAATTTGATGATTCAAAACTTCCAGAATTGGCTCCTGCTCCAGACATATCCAACAGTGACCTGGGGAGAACCTTCTCCTTGCGGCCTAAAATTCCCGAAGTAGGCAATCCTGGACTACCTATTGTCTCGACCTGCTCTTTGCCCTACAGAGCACATCTCAGAATTTCTTGATGGGATCCTTCCAGCCTGCTGTAATTTCTTTACCACACTTTGAAAACATTTATATCCCTAAAGATACCATACCACTTATACAAATATGTGCTGTTTTCACTTGATGTCTGCTCTTTATGTACGTCAATTCCACAGTTTAAGGCTTTGAGATTTTTCCTTGAAATCTCAAACCATCAATTCATACTGACACAATTACCCTTTACTCTTTTAATATGACCAAATTAGTATTAGTCGTGTGAATATGGGTACCAAAATGGGCCCTAGTTATGCCTGCAGTTTCATGAATACATGGTAGAGAGGGCAGATCCAGGCCATAAACCATAATTTTACAAAAGATAAATTGATGACTTCATTGACATGACTAGCATGGAAACAGATGAACAATTTAATGATTTTCTAAACTCATTCCACCCATTTATTAAATTTAATTCACAAATCTCTGAGAACTCTGTGAACGTTCTGGACATTACCCTTATACAAGAAAATGGATTATGCATGTCTGTCCAATACAAACCAACAGTCATAGTTATTTTTTGTATTCATCCTCCCACCCCTATATCTTAAAAACACACCAAACCTTTTACCCAACTTTTT